TGGGGGGGGGGGGGGATTCCAATGCTGCTCTGTGTTTTTCGGTGTGCCTGCTGGTTGGTGGCTAAGGAATCTCCTCTTGCTGCCATTCTGTGTATCGACTTGCGCTATTTATTTGTCCCCAGGCGACGATTTTGGCCGTCCTTTGTTGTGCGTACCCTTTCTTTCTTTCTCTCTGCGCTTGAAGCATCGCGTTTCAGCACACGGAGGGCAATGTTAACAACGAGGGACTGGACTAATTGGTTGGCTGCGGCAGAGGGACGACGAAGCAAAACGCAACTAAATAAATCCCGCGACGCCAAAGAGTGACAAAAAGTGTGCGCGCGAGAAAACAAAAAGAGAGGAGATGCAGAACAAGGAGGAATAACCGACACGACATCGACACAGCGCGAGCTTCAGCAACAAGCCATGTATGCGTCGGCTTTTGGTTTTTTGTTGTTCACTTTGGTGACGTTCAACTTTTTCTTCGTATTTCGTCAAAGAATACTTTTGGCCGAAGGCCCCGCCGCTTCACGGTGCCGTCCCGCCGCGTCCCGCACAAACGTGGTGAATAACCGTGCATCCTTCCACGCGCGGGGGGGTCCCCAAGCATGTGATACGATGGACAGCATCAGCATCAGCATGGGGCACCACGTGCGGGTTGATCCACAAGCAAGACTCGCTGCTGTGGCTCATGTGTGAGCTACCAACCACACACTTTACTCGAAATTACAATTAATTGCGGGGTACCCGTTTGCCGTGTCACTACATACGCCGACGGCGTCAGGAAAAACAAAGGAGAAAACTACGAACGAGGTTCCTGCCGCAAACAGCACGGCACGCACCTTCGTACAAAGAAAGGCGAGAGCAAGATGCGACACTGCATTTATTCAACAAAACATGTCGAATACATGTTGAGGAGGTTCAGAGATGACGCCACGTCTCCTGCTGGAGCCGCCCCACCCTGTACCAGCACCAAGACGATTCTTTCACGGTGAACGACTGACTTTTTATTCACCGGAGCCGCCCCCCCGCCCCCTCACTCCATCATCATTACGATTTCTATCCTCTCTAGACGATACGCTCGTCCGACCCCCCCTCAGTGGTTTCGCTCAGCCCTTGTACAACTCACCGCTAAACCTACTGTTGCACGAACCGTGGTCAGAGGAAGACCAAAATGCAAAAACCCTGCCGCCGGTCTGCGAGAAATTGGGCTCGCCCACCGAACCCACACCGGGGAGGAGCAGCACACTTGGTGCATCGTCGTGCGTCTTCGCCCGATCACCATGGTCGGCGAAACATTCAGCATTTTCCGCGCCGTCCCGGGATCGTACCACGGGTAGGTGTGCGGTACACGGTATGTCCGGAAAATCACGGCATGCGCACCATCATCGCGAAGTGGTACAACCCCGCCCCCCGCCCCACTGCGGCCGCACGCCTCTGTAAAGGATTGTCGAAAGAAAAAAGAAAGAAGCTCAACAACAACGTGGCTATGCGCACACAGCAAAAAAGCTATATGCTGTCTGTCGGTCGTGTCTGCCTGCCCTCGGAGGCCTCTAATACTTCTGTAGGTCGGCAAAAAGTAATCTGAACCACGCGAAACAGACACCACACCAATAGACCTCAACTGCCATGCTGTCCTCCTTTCTCAGCAATCGCTCAGCCTAAATACTCTTGGTTAAATTAATTAACTCAAAGCAGCATCAGCGAGCGGGGGTCTTCGACTAAAAAATTCAACTCAAAACACCCCGCCAATAGCCACCGCAGCAGCAGCAACTACAACAACAACCTCCTGCAGTCCGTTCGGCTCAACAGCTCAATCGGGTAAGCACTGTTGCTGCAAGAACAAAAACAACAAAAACAGCAAATCGTTGCGCGTCGACCTGTCGAACCGAACGAACGAACGTGCACAAGTCTTCTTCTCGCAACATTAAACCCTTTCCAAACTAAACTGGTTTAGTTGCTGTTGAGGGAAGAAAGCCGGCAAGCAAGCAGCCCAGAAGCTTTGTCAAAACTAGACTTGTCTTGTTGCCGCCGGTTCCGGAGGAAGGAAGGACGAGCAAGCAGCCTATATCGCCGCTGTTCGAAGCCCGCCAGACTCCATTTCCTCCTTGGCCTTGACCTTAAAGTTTTTGCGCTCGTCCGCCCACACCTCCAGCTGGAGAGAGTCCACTCCTCTCAGCCACTCCAAGAACCCTTCGCGCCCCTCCTTCGTGTCACCACTGCGATCATTCATGTAATTGGCGCGGTTCATCGGTTAGGATTGGTTGACAGATCAAATTGAGTTCTGTTTGGATGTTAAGAACGGATTGAGTGAGTCTTGTTCAAGCGTGTTTGATTGGCTGAATTCTGTTTTCGGGACTACGCTGCTTTTCCGTCTAAGCGAAAGAGGGCGACAAAATAAACAACGAAGCAATCAACACTACGCAAACAGCGAGAGAGCGAGAACAAAATAAATCCGGGTTCAAGCGAGAACAAAACAAACGCGGCATATAGTACTGCCGTTCACGAATAATCCGTGCACGTACTGGCGAGACGCGAGCCAGATGTTTGCCACGTTAAAGCCAATGTGCTCACATGAAGTCGGTGACGATGAGCTCGGTAGTCATGAGCTCGATGTCCGACTTGCTCCACAGCGGCCTCTTCTCCTTGAGCGTCTCGGACACCTTCGTTTGTTTTTGCAATCATTGGAACGCGATGTTTGCATGAGGGGGGGCACCGGGTCGGGAGGGAGAAGGGTCGTTCGTGGTCGAGCCCGCCGGAAAAGCACGATCGTTCTGCCAGTCCCGTAACCAAACATACGCTCTCCCTTCCACTGATTAGAAACAGGTGTTCAACGAGTTGTCGAAAAACTCATACGGGGGGGGGGGGGGGGGGGGGGNGGGGGGGGGGGGGGGGGGGGGGGGGGGGGGGGGGGGGGGGGGGGGGGGGGTTCTGTCTGAACGCGAGGCGTGCCAAACACCACCGAAAGCTACCACCACTACCACCAGCAGCACGACAGTTTCGTCAACACGGCACGGTCGCCCTACCGGGCACTGGTCAGCTGGTTAACGCGTGCGGTCGGTGTCAACTGAAAAAAAAAAAAAACACGCAAACACGCAACACCGACAGACGTACGTACCAAACACCACGCCACCAGCGAGCCAATGCTATCAAGACACGGCACCGCCCCTTCTTACCGGCCCCAGCACATCCTTGACCTCCAGGAGCGCCCGCCGCATCTCCTCCCCGCCGGAGAACGCCCTCACGAAGTCCACCAGAAGCCGCACCCTGTCCTCCGGGTGCAAGAACTTCGTCGCCTCGCCCAGGGGTCTCCAGAAATCGTCCCCGGCCGGCGTGAGCCCCAGCCCTTCCCTGAGAGTCGCGATCTGCTCCTCCGAGCCCGTCCAGCACGACGAGGCCAGGGCCTCTGCAAGGATGGCCTTGTAAGGCGCGAAGAGCACGCCGGCCTGAATTGGCAGGCGTGCGCGGGCGCGGGGGGGGGGGGTCCTCATATTCGTGCATGCCGTAGTCGTTAGACCATTGACCTCGCATCCCTACAAAGCCGGGACGGAGCACGCCGGGTTCTCACCGGACCAGGCTCTCACATCACCAAGCGCGAAGCGCCGTGAGATATTCGGCGAGTCGCATGAAGGGTGCGCTGCATCCTGCTCAAGGTGTTCGGCATCTCGTGCTTACTTCCTTGCGTACGGATGACAGCTGCGTATGACTTAATATATTTTCTGGAGTTCCCACTTCCAGAGACAGCCATGAGCACTGTGTAACTGCCTCGAGGGTGCTTGACCATTTCGACACAACGTGGTGCGATCATCCCCCTTGCGCGGAGTGAGGCTTCTCCACCCCGCACAAGATGATCCACTCGACCACCATTATGGTTACCGCAAAAAAAGAAAAACAGAGAAAAAAAAACAACGGCAACCTGGTTGCCGAGTTCACGAAGTGAAATAGCTTGTTTTACAACGCCATTGCCAAGCGACGAAAACCCAATCCCGATGGCGAACACCGCGGGGGGCGGCTTGTTTTACAACGTCGTTGCCAAGCGACGAAAACCCAACCCCGATGGCAAACACCGGGGGGGGGGGGGGGGGGGGCGGGNGAGTTGTGACTCCTGTGTGAGTTTGTGGACGGGAGGGGGGTCGTCACCGCTGTGTGAGTTTGTGGATGGACGACGACGCTAGGGCCTCGGCGACAATCGCCTCGTGCGGCGCGAACAGCATGCCCCCGGCATTTTTGGTCCGCACGCCCCGAGGGGTGGGGGTGGTCAGGGTGGTGGGGGCGTGAACTCATAGCCATGCGTGTCTTAGTCGTTAGACCATTGAAGTCGCATCTCTACAAGGCCGGGGGTAGGGGTGGGGGTTGGTCGTGGTTGTTTGAGTTTGTGGCGAACGGCTTCGAAGAGGGTTTCTTTAAAAAAAAAAAAAAACAATATTCTCTTTCTCACCGGCAGCTCGGTAAGCACGTCGTACACCGACACAAGCGGGTCGACCAGCGCCAGCGCGGCCTGCTTCTCCTCCTCCGTCTTGGCCTTGCGGTAGGTGGCGTGCAACCGTAGGGCGGCGAAGTCCACGTCGTCCGTGTCGAGGGACCTGGTGCCGTACAGACGGTTGCGGAGGGTGTTGCCAATGTCCGACTCGTCCGGCGGGATGGCCTTGGTAGCCTGTAAAATGTGGGAAACCGGGGGG